CCTAAAATCATTGCTTTACTGAACCTTCACACCTGAGATTGTCAGACATCTCATCTTTCAAAAGAAATGCTGTATATAAATGTATGAAGAAGACTAACTGAGGGTGACTAGGAAAAATTACTTTCTAGTTATGGTTGTGCTGTATGACCCTTTGGGTTTAGTGCTTACTTTGATTTATTAGGCCCTTTGGGCTTAGTGTTTAGCTTTATTATTATTGCCTCTGGCAAGACAGTGATAGAGTGAATGATGGTCATCACCCTCCCCTGGTGGGAGATGACCAGTGTGACAATAAAAACAATTATTATTACTATTCTAGTTATGTTTTTCTTTTATCTTTAACTTCAATATTATAATGTCGAATACATCAGGATCAAACCTGATATCTCACTCTGAGCTACAAATATAGGCTAGCCCTGCTTATACAGTGGGTTAGGTTCTGGGCTACTGCTGCAGAGCGAAAATCACTGTAAAGCCTGATAATATGTTTACACTATCATACATTAAGTGAGCAATAGAGCTAGGCCTAAAAAAAATGCATATACAGTATAGTAAGCAATTTTTTTATTTTATTATCACACCGGCCGATTCCCACCAAGGCAGGGTGGCCCGAAAAAGAAAAACTTTCACCATCATTCACTCCATCACTGTCTTGCCAGAAGGGTGCTTTACACTACAGTTTTTAAACTGCAACATTAACACCCCTCCTTCAGAGTGCAGGCACTGTACTTCCCATCTCCAGGACTCAAGTCCGGCCTGCCGGTTTCCCTGAATCCCTTCATAAATGTTACTTTGCTCACACTCCAACAGCACGTCAAGTATTAAAAACCATTTGTCTCCATTCACTCCTATCAAACACGCTCACGCATGCCTGCTGGAAGTCCAAGCCCCTCGCACACAAAACCTCCTTTACCCCCTCCCTCCAACCCTTCCTAGGCCGACCCCTACCCCGCCTTCCTTCCACTACAGACTGATACACTCTTGAAGTCATTCTGTTTCGCTCCATTCTCTTACATGTCCGAACCACCTCAACAACCCTTCCTCAGCCCTCTGGACAACAGTTTTGGTAATCCCGCACCTCCTCCTAACTTCCAAACTACGAATTCTCTGCATTATATTCACACCACACATTGCCCTCAGACATGACATCTCCACTGCCTCCAGCCTTCTCCTCGCTGCAACATTCATCACCCACGCTTCACACCCATATAAGAGCGTTGGTAAAACTATACTCTCATACATTCCCCTCTTTGCCTCCAAGGACAAAGTTCTTTGTCTCCACAGACTCCTAAGTGCACCACTCACTCTTTTTCCCTCATCAATTCTATGATTCACCTCATCTTTCATAGACCCATCCGCTGACACGTCCACTCCCAAATATCTGAATACGTTCACCTCCTCCATACTCTCTCCCTCCAATCTGATATTCAATCTTTCATCACCTAATCTTTTTGTTATCCTCATAACCTTACTCTTTCCTGTATTCACCTTTAATTTTCTTCTTTTGCACACCCTACCAAATTCATCCACCAATCTCTGCAACTTCTCTTCAGAATCTCCCAAGAGCACAGTGTCATCAGCAAAGAGCAGCTGTGACAACTCCCACTTTGTGTGTAATTCTTTATCTTTTAACTCCACGCCTCTTGCCAAGACCCTCGCATTTACTTCTCTTACAAACCCCATCTATAAATATATTAAACAACCACGGTGACATCACACATCCTTGTCTAAGGCCTACTTTTACTGGGAAAAAATTTCCCTCTTTCCTACATACTCTAACTTGAGCCTCACTATCCTCGTAAAAAACTCTTCACTGCTTTCAGTAACCTACCTCCTACACCATACACTTGCAACATCTGCCACATTGCCCCCCTATCCACCCTGTCATACGCCTTTTCCAAATCCATAAATGCCACAAAGACCTCTTTAGCCTTATCTAAATACTGTTCACTTATATGTTTCACTGTAAACACCTGGTCCACACACCCCCTACCTTTCCTAAAGCCTCCTTGTTCATCTGCTATCCTATTCTCCGTCTAACTCTTAATTCTTTCAATTATAACTCTACCATACACTTTACCAGGTACACTCAACAGACTTATCCCCCTATAATTTTTGCACTCTCTTTTATCCCCTTTGCCTTTATACAAAGGAACTATGCATGCTCTCTGCCAATCCCTAGGTACCTTACCCTCTTCCATACATTTATTAAATAATTGCACCAACCACTCCAAAACTATATCCCCACCTGCTTTAACATTTCTATCTTTATCCCATCAATCCCGGCTGCCTTACCCCCTTTCATTTTACCTACTGCCTCACGAACTCCCCCACACTCACAACTGGCTCTTCCTCACTCCTACAAGATGTTATTCCTCCTTGCCCTATACACGAAATCACAGCTTCCCTATCTTCATCAACATTTAACAATTCCTCAAAATATCATTCCATCTTCCCAATACCTCTAACTCTCCATTTAATAACTCTCCTCTCCTATTTTTAACTGACAAATCCATTTGTTCTCTAGGCTTTCTTAACTTGTTAATCTCACTCCAAAACTTTTCTTATTTTCAACAAAATTTGTTGATAACATCTCACCCACTCTCTCATTTGCTCTCTTTTTACATTGCTTCACCACTCTCTTAACTTCTCTCTTTTCTCCATATACTCTTCCCTCCTTGCATCAGTTCTACTTTGTAAAAACTTCTCATATGCTAACTTTTTCTCCCTTACTACTCTCTTTACATCATCATTCCACCAATCGCTCCTCTTCCCTCCTGCACCCACTTTCCTGTAACCACAAACTTCTGCTGAACACTCTAACACTACATTTTTAAACCTACCCCATACCTCTTCGACCCCATTGCCTATGCTCTCATTAGCCCATCTATCCTCCAATAGCTGTTTATATCTTACCCTAACTGCCTCCTCTTTTAGTTTATAAACCTTCACCTCTCTCTTCCCTGATGCTTCTATTCTCCTTGTATCCCATCTACCTTTTACTCTCAGTGTAGCTACAACTAGAAAGTGATCTGATATATCTGTGGCCCCTCTATAAACATGTACATCCTGAAGTCTACTCAACAGTCTTTTATCTACCAATACATAATCCAACAAACTACTGTCATTTTGCCCTACATCATATCGTGTATACTTATTTATCCTCTTTTTCTTAAAATATGTATTACCTATAACTAAACCCCTTTCTATACAAAGTTCAATCAAAGGGCTCCCATTATCATTTACACCTGGCACCCCAAACTTACCTACCACACCCTCTCTAAAAGTTTCTCCTACTTTAGCATTCAAGTCCCCTACCACAATTACTCTCTCACTTGGTTCAAAGGCTCCTATACATTCACTTAACATCTCCCAAAATCTCTCTCTCTCCTCTGCATTCCTCTCTTCTCCAGGTGCATACACGCTTATTATGACCCACTTCTCGCATCCAACCTTTACTTTAATCCACATAATTCTTGAATTTACACATTCATATTCTCTTTTCTCCTTCCATAACTGATCATTTAACATTACTGCTACCCCTTCCTTTGCTCTAACTCTCTCAGATACTCCAGATTTAATCCCATTTATTTCCCCCCACTGAAACTCTCCTACCCCCTTCAGCTTTGTTTCGCTTAGGGCCAGGACATCCAACTTCTTTTCATTCATAACATCAGCAATCATCTGTTTCTTGTCATCCGCACTACATCCCCGCACATTTAAGCAACCCAGTTTTATAAAGTTTTTCTTCTTCTCTTTTTTAGTAATTATATACAGGAGAAGGGGTTACTAGCCCATTGCTCCCGGCATTTTAGTCGCCTCATACGACACGCATGGCTTACGGAGGAAAGATTCTTTTCCACTTCCCCATGGACAATAGAAGAAATAAAAAAGAACAAGAGCTATTTAGAAAAAGGAGAAAAACCTAGATGTATGTATATATATATATGCATGGGCGTGTCTGTGAAGTGTGACCAAAGTGTAAGTAGGAGTAGCAAGATATCCCTGTTATCTTAGCGTGTTTATGAGACAGAAAAAGAAACCAGCAATCCTACCATCATGCAAAACAGTTACAGGTTTTTGTTTCACAGTCATCTGGCAGGACGGTAGTACTTCCCTGGGTGGTTGCTGTCTACCAACCTACTACCTATAAATAAATGAATAAATGAAGAATGGGTATAATTGAAAACTTTTCAGCTGTATTAGCAAAATGCTTTAAAGTGAACTGCTATATATATGGAAAAGGAGCACTGGAAGTGTTTAACACTTTCTTACCAAAAGACCCATGGCTGTCTTCAAGAGGGAGCTGGACAGGCCCCTAAAGTCAGTACTTGTCCAGCTGGGCTGTGGTTCATACATTGGTTTGTGTGCTGTCAGCAGTAACAGCCTGGATGATCAGGCCCTGATCCACTGTGAGACCCAGTCATGGACCAGATTGCAGGAGCGTTAACCCTGGCACACCCTCCAGGTATACTCCAGGTATACTTATATCCAAATGAGTTCCCGAACTACTGGTAACAAGTGGATTGTCTAAACACCTGAAGTAATGACCTGGGGATGAAAGCATCAGATGGTTGATCCCTGACCACCCGTTCAGCAATTCGGCTGCCAGTCATACATTTGGCATGTGGTGCCACACACTAGGCAAACTGACTGAGGGAACTTGAGCTAGAGTTCGTCATGGCCACTTGCATTTGTGGTCACAGTGGTGCCTATGATAACCTTCCTATGGTGTATGAATATACCTAGTTGGATGAATCTTATTGTAGCCAGCTGGCCTAGTAGCTAACATGCCTGTCTGGAGTTTTACAACTCACTAGCCACGAGTTCAATCCCCACCCATACTGTGGTTTAAACTGACTTCATGTTATTGCTTGGCCTTTCCACCTTACTCACATAAACTTCCAGCTGGGCACAACTGGTAGGATTTCACAAAACTACACTATACAGTCATGTACATTCTAGGAATATGGAAAGATTTGAATGCCAGAATTGCTACAAACCTTGGGATCTCATTAGGTCGTGGACTAAACACATCAACCATGGGGCTTGGAGTTCCCCTGGTAGAATTCATTGGCAAGTAATGAGGATTGGACACCCCAGTTGTAGGTTCACCACCAACACCAACACGGGAGTATCCTACTAAGTCTGGTGACTTCATGTTCAAGTAGTTGTCCTCAGTGTTCCCATCAGCATTCTGTTGGAATATCATAAATAAGCCGAATATTAAATACAAAATGCCATATATAAATTGATAACTTTACAATAAATTAATGTGCATACATAATCTACCAAGAGAAAATAATCTAAATCAATCATTCCAGACACTGTACCATCTTAATAACCCTTTAATGTTCCTGAAGCCCATATGAAACTCACTTTTAGGGTTACTTTGGAAACTTCCACAGGCACCCACTAATGCAGGAACAGCATGATGTTGCCTATGGCCAATAGAGTAACTCTTATTTATAAAGCAAGAACCAATCAGAGTCAGATACCTCTCTCCCAGGCTGGCTGGGAAAATTATGTGTGAGATGGCATCTTCCAAGACTTGAAAGTGGGCATCTTGCACTTGTTATCAACACATTCTAGAACACTATGCTTTATGCCATGGAGGTAAGTTCATGAAAATATCATGTCATAACTAAATAGCTATGACAAAAAACAATCAAGAAATTTCACTAATTCTAATAAATGATTCACCTTTAAGTTAAGGTACATTCTCTTGGTGTCCTCATCCTCACGTTGAAGGTTATCAAAGTCAGGACTTGACAGCATGTCAAGGTAATCTGTTCCTGTTCTGAACCGCTCCTCATTCATTACCAGGTATGGGTCATTCATTGCCACATATTGCTGCAAAATAAGACATGTTATTTATGTAACAAGAAAATGTAAGAATTATAGGGGAAAAAGCCTATTGAGCATGTTCGGTAAATTGTATGGTAGAATTATTACTAAGTTAGAGGAACAACAAACTAGGATTACAGAGGAACAGGGAGAATTTAGAAAGTGAAGGGGATGTACAGACCCTGCATTTACACTGAAGAATGTATGTGAACAAACTTAGAGAAAGGTAAAGAACTTTTTGTTGTATTTATGGATTTAGAAAAGGCATGTGGTAAGGCAGATAGGGGAGCAATGTGACAGACATCTCAAACAAACGAACAAAAACAAAGAGACAAACTTTATTTCTTTGTGCAGTTTATAAAATGTAGCTTATATGTAATAAACTATTGTTAAGCACAAAAGCCACAAGCATACTGTGCATTTTGGTAACCTTTTTGGTGACAGACTGCTTAAGACTATAGATTATAGACTTTCACTTTGACTAGGTTATTAGGTGGTACAATTTAAGTATCCATTATTACAAAAAAAGAGAGGTAGCAAAAATTGTACAATTTTAAGTAGTACATGTATGAATTAATAATTTAAACTGATTCAGTGATCTAAAGTTAATTGGGATTTCTTAAGTAGTTTCAGACTGACTGTGATTTCAGGCTAGGGAACAATATCAAAGATGGTGAAGAAACAGGAAGTAGTGGGATGAGTTGGCTTTGTTTGGTATAGTAAATGTATGGAATTGGTAGTGGATTACAAAAACAACAAGCTTTTTTGTGGATAGTGAGGCTCAAATTGGGGTATTTACTAGAGACTGAGACTATTTGTCTGTAAAATTAGGCCTTAGAAATATGTAATGTTACCGTGGTTGTTTAATATGTGTATAGACTGGGTATAAAATAAATGAAAGCTAGGGTGTTGGGAAGAAGTGTGGATTAAAAGATGCTGGATTTCATACAAAGTGGGAGTTATCACTGCTGTTTTTTGACGAAGACACTCTTCTTTTGGGAAATTTTGAGGGTGCAAAGGTTGGTGGATGAATTTGAGAAGGCATGTAAAAGGGTTAAAAGTGAACATACAAAAGAGCAAGTAAATGAGAGTGAGAAGAAATCTACGTAACCACAGAACAGAAACGGAAAAAAAAAAAGAGGTATGTGAGGTTCTGAGTCGTCTGTGGAAAGAAAAATTTATCTGTTGAGGTAAAAAAAAAAAGGGGAGGTGGGAGGGGAAATTAACAAAGCATATTGGTACAGTATTAATATTTATACAGGCATAAAGTACGAGTTTTAATTACCTACAGCAATGAGGAAGAGGCTGGAGGAAATAGAGATGTCATGCTTGAGAGCAATGTGTGGTGCAAATATCATACATAAAGAGAACTGAGAGTTTAAAAACTAGGTGTGGAGTTACCAAAAGTAGAGTCAGAGGGCTGATGAGGGGTTCTTGAGGTGGTCTGGTAATTTAGAGTGCATGACACAAAACTGGATGACAGTATAAAACTGGGATGGAGGGGGTAGGGGGGTCATTCAAGGAAGGGTTTGAGGGAGGAAATAAAGGACTTGAATGCTGGGACCTGAATACCCAGCAAGCTTTCTTTTGTGTGTGTGTGTGTGTGTGTGTGTGTGTGTGTGTGTGTGTGTGTGTGTGTGTGTGTGTGTGTGTGTGTGTGTGTGTGTGTGTGTGTGTGTGTGTGTGTGTGTGTGTGTGTGTGTACTCACCTAGTTGTGATTGCAGGGGTTGAGTCACAGCTCCTGGCCCTGCCTCGTCACTGGCCTCTACTCAGTCATTCTTCCAGCTCCATGAACTTTATCATACCTCTTCTTAAAGCTATGTATGGATCCTGCCTCCACTACATCACTTCCCAGACTATTCCACTTCCTGACAACTCTGTGATTGAAGAAATACTTCCTAACATCCCTGTGGTTCATCTGAGTCTTCAGCTTCCAACTGTGACCCATTGTTGCTGTGTCCCATCTCTGGAACATCCTGTCTCTGTCCACCTTGTCGATTCCTCTCAGTATTTTATGTTGTTATCATATCCCTCCTATCTCTCCTGTCTTCCAGTGTCATCAGGTCAATTTCCCTTAACCTCTCCTCATAGGACATACCCCTTAGCTCCGGGACTAGTCTTGTTGCAAACTTTTGCTCTTTCTCTAGTTTCCTCACATGCCTGGCTAGGTGAGGGTTCCAAACTGGCACTGCACACTCCAATACGGGCCTAACGTACACAGTGTACAGGGTCCTGAATGACTCCTTATTTAGATGTCAGAATACTGTTCTTAGGTTCACCAGGTGTCCGTATGCTGCAGCAGTTATTTGGTTGATGTGTGCCTCAGGAGATGTGCCTGGTGTTATACTCACCCCAAGATTGTACTCCGTCTGTGGTCTTCTATGCCCTTCCCCAATCTTCATGACTTTGCACTTGGTGGGGTTGAACTCCAGGAGCCATTTTATGGACCAGGCCTGCAGCCGGTCTAGATCCCCGCAAACAGGGACACTTCGGAGTCTATTCCTAGATCATCTGCAAACAGGGACACTTCGGAGTCTATTCCTTCTGTCATGTCGTTCACAAGTACCAGAAACAGCACCGGTCCTAGGACTGATCCGTGACACCCCGCTCATAACAGGGACCCAGTCTAACTCCCCGCCATGTCCTATGACTCGCTGTTGTCTTCCTGACAGGTATTCCCTGATCCACTGTAGTGTCTTCCCTGTTATCCCTGCCTGGTCCTCCAGATTTTGTACTAATCTCTTGTGTGGGACTGTGTCAAACACCTTACAGTCCGAGAAAATGCAATCTACCCATCCCTCTGTCTGTCTGCCTGTCTCCCTCTGTGTGTGTGTGTGTGTGTACTCACCTAGTTGTACTCACCTAGTTGAGGTTGCAGGGGTCGAGTCCAAGCTCCTGGCCCTGCCTCTTCACTGGTCACTACTAGGTCACTCTCCCTGAACCGTGAGCTTTATCATACCTCTGCTTAAAACTATGTATGGATCCTGCCTCCACTACATTGCTTCCCAAACTATTCCACTTCCTGACTACTCTGTGGCTGAAGAAATAGTACTTCCTAACATCCCTGTGATTCATCTGTATCTTCAACTTCCAACTGTGTCCCCTTGTTGCTGTTTCCATCTCTGGAACATCCTGTCTTTGTTTTTGTTTTTTATTATTATCACACTGGCCGATTCCCACCAAGGCAGGGTGGCCCAAAAAAGAAAAACTTTCACCATCATTCACTCCATCACTGTCTTGCCAGAAGGGTGCTTTACACTACAGTTTTTAAACTGCAACATTAACACCCCTCCTTCAGAGTGCAGGCACTGTACTTCCCATTTCCAGGACTCAAGTCCGGCCTGCCGGTTTCCCTGAATCCCTTCATAAATGTTACTTTGCTCACACTCCAACAGCACGTCAAGTATTAAAAACCATTTGTCTCCATTCACTCCTATCAAACACGCTCACGCATGCCTGCTGGAAGTCCAAGCCCCTCGCACACAAAACCTCCTTTACCCCCTCCCTCCAACCCTTCCTAGGCCGACCCCTACCCCGCCTTCCTTCCACTACAGACTGATACACTCTTGAAGTTATTCTGTTTCGCTCCATTCTCTCTACATGTCCGAACCACCTCAACAACCCTTCCTCAGCCCTCTGGACAACAGTTTTGGTAATCCCGCACCTCCTCCTAACTTCCAAACTACGAATTCTCTGCATTATATTCACACCACACATTGCCCTCAGACATGACATCTCCACTGCCTCCAGCCTTCTCCTCGCTGCAACATTCATCACCCATGCTTCACACCCATATAAGAGCGTTGGTAAAACTATACTCTCATACATTCCCCTCTTTGCCTCCAAGGACAAAGTTCTCTGTCTCCACAGACTCCTAAGTGCACCACTCACTCTTTTTCCCTCATCAATTCTATGATTCACCTCATCTTTCATAGACCCATCCGCTGACACGTCCACTCCCAAATATCTGAATACGTTCACCTCCTCCATACTCTCTCCCTCCAATCTGATATTCAATCTTTCATCACCTAATCTTTTTGTTATCCTCATAACCTTACTCTTTCCTGTATTCACCTTTAATTTTCTTCTTTTGCACACCCTACCAAATTCATCCACCAATCTCTGCAGCTTCTCTTCAGAATCTCCCAAGAGCACAGTGTCATCAGCAAAGAGCAACTGTGACAACTCCCACCCTGTGTGTGATTCTTTATCTTTTAACTCCACGCCTCTTGCCAAGACCCTCGCATTTACTTCTCTTACAACCCCATCTATAAATATATTAAACAACCACGGTGACATCACACATCCTTGTCTAAGGCCTACTTTTATTGGGAAAAAATTTCCCTCTTTTCTACATACTCTAACTTGAGCCTCACTATCCTCGTAAAAACTCTTCACTGCTTTCAGTAACCTACCTCCTACACCATACACTTGCAACATCTGCCACATTGCCCCCCTATCCACCCTGTCATACGCCTTTTCCAAATCCATAAATGCCACAAAGACCTCTTTAGCCTTATCTAAATACTGTTCACTTATATGTTTCACTGTAAACACCTGGTCCACACACCCCCTACCTTTCCTAAAGCCTCCTTGTTCATCTGCTATCCTATTCTCCGTCTTACTCTTAATTCTTTCAATTATAACTCTACCATACACTTTACCAGGTACACTCAACAGACTTATCCCCCTATAATTTTTGCACTCTCTTTTATCCCCTTTGCCTTTATACAAAGGAACTATGCATGCTCTCTGCCAATCCCTAGGTACCTTACCCTCTTCCATACATTTATTAAATAATTGCACCAACCACTCCAAAACTATATCCCCACCTGCTTTTAACATTTCTATCTTTATCCCATCAATCCCGGCTGCCTTACCCCTTTCATTTTACCTACTGCCTCACGAACTTCCCCACACTCACAACTGGCTCTTCCTCACTCCTACAAGATGTTATTCCTCCTTGCCCTATACACGAAATCACAGCTTCCCTATCTTCATCAAC